TCCTCCTTCGGCGGCGGGTGGGGGCGAGCTTCGGGGTGAGGATAACCGCCCATTGGGTGCCGGCGGGTCTTTTTGGCATGGCCTGGACGGCCAGTCATCGCAGTCTGTGTCTCCGGAGTTCTCCGACGACTCTGACTGATCGCCTGCCCCAGGCGCCGAGGCCCCCTCCCGCGAAGGTATCCCCCGATCCCACGCGCCGCGAGCTCCCGTTTTCGTCGGGCCGCCGGGGCAGGGTGGGAGAACCTGGCGGAGGCCTCCACCCGGTGCCGCGTGGCCTGTCTTGTGCTGCCCGTCTGGCGCCCTGGTTGCGCCATCGCCTCAGGCTGCCGCTTTGCGCAGTTTTGTTTTGCGGGATCCTGGTCCCTGGAGGGGGAGGAGGAGGAGGAGGAGGAGGAGGAGGAGGAGGAGGAGGAGGAGGAGGAGGAGGAGGAGGAGGAGGAGGAGGAGAGGAGGAGGAGGAGGAGGAGGAGGAGGAGGAGGAGGAGGGAGGAGGAGGGAGGAGGAGGAGGAGGAGGAGGAGGAGGAGGAGGCGGCGGCCCTGCGGGGCGAGACGGGGCCCCAGGTCGCGTTTGAGGTCGGCTCCGTGGGACCCTGGCGCCCTGTGCTGCCAGAGCGGCCCGCGCCGGGGGCGAGGCTGGAGCGGTCGGCGCCGTCGTCCTGGCGTCGCCCGTTGGCTTGGCATTGCGTTTCGTGTTCGCGCGCGCGCGCGCTGGGTGCTGTTCGCGCGCGCGTCAGGCACCCCGCCTCCGGGGGAAGGCGTGCACGTTTGTGGCCCGTTCTCTTACAGGATTTCTCTTGCTGGCTTCATGATGCACGGGCCGGCGGGGCAGGCTGGTGGGGCAGGCTGGTGGCGCAGCTGGCAGGAGGCGGCAGACTTTCCTCTGGGGGGAGGCGCCGTCCCAGCGACTACCGCTTGGCAGAAGAGTGGATGTCAACAACAAATCCTGCTCCTCCTCCACCGCCGTGCTCCGCAGTTCGATGTTGCGTGGCGCTGTAACTCTCTGACGTCGCCGCGGCGCGGCGGCAAGCACGGCCCCCTGCAGGTGCCGACCGCGGCACCGGCGTCTAGAACAGGGAGTCTTCCTTTCGGTTGGTCACGTATCCACCCCTATCTGGAGCCTTGAGACGGGGTTAATTACTGCAAACGGGGTTCAGCCAGAACGCCCGATCTTGCAGGACTCTTCGCGTTGACCCGGGCTTGGGTGCAGGATCATGCAGCATCCTGCAGGATTCTGCGAGGCCTGACTGACCCGGGTCTGGATTCACCCGGGTTAGAAAATCCCCGACTCAATAATTTTGGGAATCCGTGCACGTCGCGCACGAGATGACGACGAATGAATGACGTAGCACCCTGCAATTGTGGATAAGAGTGAGGGGGCGGACGCGGGCGACGCGGGCGTCGAGCCGGCGGACCTCGTGGCCCTCACCTTCCCTGTCGATAGCGCCTTCCTCCTCCTCCTCCTCCTGCTCCTCCTCCTCTTCCTCGTCCGCGTCATCGTCCTCATCGTCGTCGTCGTCGTCCACCTCCTCTTCCTCCTTTTCCTCATCCTCCTCCTCCTCCTCCTCCTCCTCCTCCTCCTCCTCCTCCTCCTCCTCCTCCTCCTCCCCCATCCCGATCCTCCCCCCGCCTCCTTTCCGTCGTCGACCTCCTCCCCCTCCTCTTCCCTCCTTTCTCGTCGTCCCCCTCCGTCCCCCCCTCCTTTTCCTCCTCCTGCTCCTCGCCCTGGTCCTCCTCCCCTCCTCCGCGGAGCGCGCGCGCGCTGGGGGGGTGGGTCGCGGGCTTGTTCAGTGGGTCGCGGGCTCTCCACCTCACCCTGGAAGTAATTCAAAAGCAGCACGCCGCAGGCGCCGAAAATTTTGAGGTGTAAACTGAACGCGGTTTTGGTCGCGGGTGGGTCGCAGGTTCTCCACTTTGAACCAGTGCAAAAGAAGCCCGCCGCAGGCGCTGAATTTTTTGGGGTGGGTCGCGGGGTGGGTCGCGGGTGGGTCGCGGGTGGGTCGCGGTGGGTCGCGGGTGGGTCGCGGGCGCGGTTTAGGTCGCGGGTGGGTCGCAGGTTCTCCATTTGGAACGAATGCAAAAGAAGCCCGCCGCAGGCGCCGAAAATTTTGGGTGGGTCGCGGGGTGGGTCGCGGGTGGGTCGCGGGTGGGTCGCGGTGGGTCGCGGTGGGTCGCGGGTGGGTCGCGGGTGGGTCGCGGGTGGGTCGCGGGTGGGTCGCCGGGGGGGTCTCGGCGTGGGTCGCGGGCGGGTCGCGGGGTGGGTCGCGGGTGGGTCGCGGGTGGGTCGCGGGTGGGTCGCGTGGGTGGGTCGCGGGTTGGGTCACGGGTGGGTCGCGGGTGGGTCGCGGGGTGGGTCGCGGGTGGGTCGCGGGTCGGGTCGCGGGTCGGGTCGCGGGTCGGACGACGCCAGCAACAACAAACAACAACAACAACAACAACAACAACAACAACAATCATTTAAGACTGGGGACACTCCGTTCTCACCAGTGCCAGGGTTTTCATAGGAGGCGGGCAATACCCCCACTTTGTGGGGGGGCCGGTTCAAGCTCTACCAAATTTCCAAACGACTCTTCGCCACCACCCACACCCAGCTTCCCGCCCTATGACGTTCGGACACTTCACTTCGTGGCATGCGGACGACCGTGGCTACTATTCAGGGCCCCGCGGCCGACGACGACGGCGTGCGCGCGCGAAGAAAAAACGAATGTGTCCCGCATGGTATTATTTGACAGGGATGATGGCCCTGGCAGGTGCGCAACCGTTGTTGCAGAAGTTCGAAAAAGTTGCTCGGAAAAGCCCATTTGACAGAAATGTTTAAAAAGTGGTGGGTTTCCGACAAATCCGCAAGAGCGCGCGGGATGAAATGTTGACACTTTTTTTTTGAAAAACCATTGGTTTTTTTTGATGTTTTTATGTTGAAATCGCTACGAAAACTAAGGTTTTGGAAGGATTTCATCGTGCGCGCGCGAATGTGCACTTCGTGTCATTTTTTGCAAAGGATTCTTGAAGTTTGGTTATGTTAGAACAAGATATTTCATTTTATAGTGTTTTTTGCAAGGGAAAGCGGGCGTCAACAAAACAACCGGATCTGGATGACATCGTTTTACCTGAGACTTCCTCACGAAAATGATGAAAATGTGGCTGCGGCCTAGGCGCGGCGGGGGGGTCGCGCACCAGGGGTCCCAACAATAATTATTCTTTAGAATTAATAATGTTCAACAACAACAACAACAACGAGAATCCGCATCGCGGAATTCCACTTCAGCCACGCATCCAGGGACAGTGAATGCCCGTTCGGTTCAGCCCCCTCACTCTGATTTTTGGCGACGGCGTCTTCGAAGAACCTTGAATTGTGAGCGTTGGTCCAAGATGGCGTCCAGAGTGTACCTCCTCCAGACGGCCCCCTGGCCCCTTTGGACAGCTTCTCGGCGGTTACAGGGGCCGTCTCGAGGGGTCCGAGACGTCCCATCGCAGTGTAGGATGGTCTTCAGATGACCCCAGTATGGCCAGAGGAGGGAGCGTGATAAACGCTAAGTGCGAGCAACCGGGGACGCGCGGATAGTGACCGTTTTTGTTGTTATCCATTGCTTTACCGATCGGCGCGGGCCCCCAACCCACCCTCCCCCCCAATGGAGTAGATCTTGGCTGTTTTGTGGCGCCTGTTTCGAGCGGGTGGAGTCTCCCCCAGAGGCAGCATTGCTGCAAACAGTCGCACTAAGCAGAGGTCCGGAGCCAGACCCTCCCCCTTCCCCCCCCCTTCCCTTCCTCCCGATGTCGAAACACCACCAAAAAACGCCCAGAGGAGGGAGCGTGATGAGCGCGAAGTTCGAGCAAACGGGGACGCGCGGAGTTCACCCCCAAAGTGCGAAGGCGGGGCTTTCTTCTTCGCTGCGAATGCGGTACTGGCACGGGGCCTGGCCGAGCCGCCTTTGGGGTAGCTGGTGTCCTCTCCTCCTCCTCCTCCTCCTCCTCCTCCTCCTCCCTCCTCTTCCTCCTCCTCCTCCTTCCGCGGTCCTGCTCCATCTTGTCTGGGCCAGAGAGGCTCCAAAAGTGGCGGAACCTCGTGGTTCGCACGTCCACGCGTGAGGACCATTCAGGTCATTAGGTCTCTCGACCCCAATGATTTTCGGCTGCATTCAGAAGGCATTTCATGCGACGGCCCCGGGTTCACGCCAGTCTTCGCGCGAAGGCCATGGGGCGCCGCGTTTGCGGTGCCGCGGTGGCGCCATGGGTTGCAACGGTGCTCCTCGTGTGCTCTTGCACAAGTGGCAGTGCAAGTACGGATGATACATGGGTTGTGTCTTCATTGGCACGTAGATGTGATACGACGGACGAGCATTGGTTTCAAGGCACGGTAGGATTCGACACCTGCAAGGCCAATTGTATTGCGGAGTCTCGATGCGTCGCTTTCTGGGGCGCCCCTTTCGGCGACGGTTCGTGTTGGCTTACAGTGGACTCTTGCAACGAAATTGTCGCCACGCATGCTTCTTGGCAAACATACAGGGTTTGGCACCGCCCCGGCGGCGATTGGGTTACGTCTGAATTTCAACGCATATGCGATGAAGGGTCAGACAGACCATATCAGGAAGCGATCGGGTTCGACGCCTGCATTCAGTCATGTATGGAGAATGACCGATGTGTCGCCATCTTTGGCGCCCCCTTCGACGACGGTTCGTGTTGGCTGTCGTACGATTCTTGCACTGAAGAGACAGCCGAACATGAAGCATACAAGATCTGGTACCATCCGGCGTTCAGCAGCACCACCACCACTGCCACAACAACCACCCCCCATACCACGACGCTAACTAGTAGCACTGCAAGTAGCAGCAGCATCAGCACCGCTACCAGCGGCACTTCCCGCACGACGGGAACCACGGCGTCCCACACGACGGGAACCACGGCATCCCACGCGACGGGACTTAGCAGTGATGTGGTGGTTGAGGTCATTGCTGAGTATGTGGCGGACGAAACTCTTCCGCTTGATGTAAAAGAATCTGACCTCATGTCGTCCATTGTCTACAAGACCGCAAAGAAGACGGGTTTGGAGGCTGCTCTGTCCGTGCCCGTTTCCGACATTACCATTACAGGCTTTGAATTGGATGCTCGTCGGCTCTCCACTGCTGTCCGCCAGCTCTCGGACACAGTATCAGTGAAGACTCGCTTCAAGGTGAGAACCACCAGCATCAGCGACGCCAACGCCCTCTCTACCAGGATTTCTGGAGCTTCTACCGTCATCAAGGAGGAGACTGACAGTGCCATGGCTGAATCTGACTGGAGTGGTGAGTCGGTCTTGACCGCGGCTCCTACGATCGCGGCTCTCACGACCTTAACCGTGGTCGCCATCACCACGGAGTCGGTTACAAGTTTCTCCACGATGGCAAGCACCACCACCTTTGGCGAGCTGGCGGCAACCGCTCCCGCCAGCTCGTCCGCAGACTCGGTTTTAATGATCGCTGTCATCGTAGGCGCGGTATTCAACCGCTTCGCGCTCTCGCCTGGCCCATGTCGCATCATTCTCGCCATTTGTTCGTGTGTTCGTGGGCATTTGGACATTTTCTTTGGCGGTGGTCGTTGCACCAAGCGGTCGCGTGAAGTTAGAGCGGGGGATGAACAGTCGCTTGGCACAGTGAGTGCAACATCCAACAGAACATCTTCCCACCCGAGTTTTGCCATCGAGGCTCGAAAACACAAGCAGGCGCTTGTTTGAAACCAATCCCGGGGCTGTCGAAGCATCCTGGGGGACTGTTAGGGTCTTCTGGGAGGTTTCGCGGTGCTCAATGGGGTCTCCCAGAGTCTTGTTTGGGCCTCTGTGGGTTTGTCTTTGCAACATTTTGGGCCACATGTGGGCTGTCTCGGAGCCATCATGGGCATGCTTCGCATCAGTCCCGCTGTCGGGCAATCTTGGGGTCCTTTTGCAGCCTCAAATCGGCTCATGCGGGATCCCAGAGCATTCTTAGGGTACTGTGGGCGGTGTTGGAATTTTCTTGGGGATACTTAGGGGCATACGCCCGGTGCAGCCCGCAAGGGCTAGAACGCCATCAGCATCAACAGCTCTGTGTGTATGTTTTGATAAGTATGGCTTATCTCTTGGTGCCCTTTCTGGACCCTCTTGCTGAGTCTTGGGGTCCTCTAGAGCTCAGAGCTCTCAGCCCCCGAGGATTCGGTTGGAGCCCGCTAGTGCGAGACGGCCAAACAGATCAGAAACACTTTTTTGTTTTCTATGGCTTGGACCTGCGTGGGGCCTCCGAGGGTCTTGACGTTATCGCTGTGCCATCTGAATGCCTGGCGAAGTTTGACCAGCGCTGGTTGGCCGCTCCTTCGCCCCCTGCGGGGCTCTTCAAGCCCTCTTGGGGGTCTCTAGGTGCTCTGAGGTCTCTCTTGGGCCCCTCTGGGAGCCACGTCTGGGCACGAGAAGCCCGTTGGAGCCCGCAGAGGCGGCAATACCAAAAACAGCAACCATATGTCTTTTCTAGTACGTTGGCCTTTCTGTGAGCTTCCGAGGACGGGCTCTCTCGCCTTGAACACCACCGTTGGGGTGGCTTGGACTGTCCAGGGCCATCCCTGAGCCATCTTGGCACCATCTTTGGGCCATGGCTGGGCCACCTCGGGGCCAGCTCCTGGGGCGACGTGGGGCCCTCTTGGCACCATCTTGGGGCCATCTTTGGGCCACCTCGGGGCCAGCTCCTGGGGCGACGTGGAGCCAGCTGGCGAGGCCAGAAGCCCCCCCCCCGGTGGGCACCCCCGCGCGCGGCTGGACTGCAACCGCCGGGCGTTGCGGGCCCGATCGGCCAGTGCATCCCATCATCCTCGCAGACCTCCTCGCGTTGCGAAAAAATCACGACGGGAGGTTCTTCGCTATTTTTGGCCTCCCGGGGCCCTTCCCGGACCTCGGGACCGTCAACACAACGACTCAGGATGAAAAGCCAGTCCCGGGGAAGGGGTCCAGACCTCTGGGTGTCGACGTTGTGGAAAAAAGCGCGACGTCCGGGCGCGACGTCCGGGGTCTGGGCTTGCCATTCTCGGCGATTGCAAAGGGTACAGTCGGACCGAGGGTATAAGATCGAGGTCGGTTCGGGGAGGGAGGGCTTGATGTTCTTCGTGTCTGTTGGGTGTTCTTGTGCATCCTGGGGGATGGTACCTTGAGCTGTTCTGTGTGCTTTAGCCAGTGCAGAATCCCATGTAGGATGTTTTCTCTGTACCAGGTCCGGCTGTATGGTTACGCCAGGGTGTGGTTTGCGATCGGCGCCATATGGGCGTTGAGAGCACGCAGTGTCCTGGTCGGGCCTCCTCAGTGCGCGGCGCAGAGCACTTTCGATGTCCTCGCCCGCCCCCCAGCCTCTAAGGTGCCTGCTGCAAACCACACCCTTCGCAAACCACATCATCGGAGTCGCCGTCATTTGCTGGGCTGTTCGCAGTCATTGGGGAGTTGATGTCAGAAACGAAAAAAGACGTACTTGAGCTTCCTTGTGATATTTGCGGCCCCCCTTGGGCCTCCCTTGGGGCCACATCGGAGTTCGATGTACACAATGGAGCCCGCCAGGGCGAGAACTACATGATCGTCAGAGCGTGGTTTTGTGTATGTGTGTTTTGTCAAATGGGGACCCTCCGAGGAGAGGTTCTTCAGCCATCTTCAAAAATGATATATGCAGTTCGATGCGAACTATCATGAGGCTTCCGGCTGGCGCATAGTCAGCCATTCTGAGATTTGTTTGCAGTTGATTCGGTTGGTATTGGTGGTTGTTGTCGATGGACCCGCGCTCGTGCGCCTCATTGTGGCTCCCTTGGGGCCCTCTTGTGGCTCTCTTGTGTAATCTTAGAATCCTGTTGGAGCCTTCCTGGAGATACATCTCGGCCCGAGAAGCCCATCGCATCCCGCAGAGACAAGAGAGCCCAAATTAGGAGGAATGGGAACAGCATAACTATGTTTTCTTGGAGCCTCCGGGCCGTCTGGGTGTCCGCTAGGCTAGCTTGGACCATCCTGGGCCATCTCGCCTACTACGGGTCATCTTGGTAGCACTTGGGGTTCATGTTTGGGTAATCTTGGGGCCAGCATGAAGCTTGCCGCCCCTTACCCTGCGTTCATGATGCGCTCTTGGGGACGCATGGTGCGCTCTTGGGGAACTCTTAGGGTGCCTTCGCCCGCTCTTCGGCACCAGGGAGGTCCGCAGACACCCTTTGGGTGGCTTCGCGCGCGTGGACCAGATAGACGACTCGCATTCACATGATTTTGTTTGTGCATGCTTGGTCGATCTAACATGCCGTTTGCCCGTTGGGCCGGCGAAGTCGTGATCGTCGTGTTGATGGCCATTACGATCATCAGGAAGCGCCGTCGACGCCTTGCCGCCCTGCCACTTGTTATGTCGGATGTCATTTCTATCGGCAGTGGTAAGCCAGAGACGCCGCCAAAGGTTACGCAGGACGCGTTAGATCGGTCCCGCATGCTGGGCATCAGCCTCGATTTTGTAATCGATGTCTTCCCTGACGAAGCTCGAGAGATGAAGGGACGCCTCCTCAGACACTCGCTGACAAAGCCAAACAGAACAACACGTGATGAGTCTTTCTTGAACAAGGTCTTAGAGGCGGACGAGGGGGGCGGCGATGTATATAACCTCAATTTCAGTGAGCTTGCAGAGATTGTCGCGCATGGCGAAATGGCCTATGGTAAAGGGATTCCATGCCCACGAGATGGAAAACTTGATTGCAGTATCGTCGACGCAGTCCACAGCAGGGGGGCAAGCAGTAGGGCAACAGTATTCTTATCTTGGGTTTGGGGGTACAAGTTGAGTCTGGTGTTGAGTGCTCTGCGCAAGTACCGTTCGAGGCAGACGAATCCGGAGGAGTGTTTCATATGGTGGTGCTTTTTCCAAAACAATCAGTTTCGCATTCTTGGAGATAATCAGCCTCAAGACTTCTTCACCCTGAAGGCAATCTTTGGAACGCAGCTGCGGAACGTCGGAAAGATGGTCGCTATGATGGATCGGGTGACGGATTCTAAGTTTTCTTCGAGATTGTGGTGCCTCTTCGAGGTCTACACGGTCTCCGCAGAAGCGATACCGTTCGAGGTAGTCTTGCCAGAAGAGGCGTCCGTGGAGATCGATTTTTTGCTCAAGGGGGGGTTGGGCCAGCTGAAGTCCGCAATCAAGGTCGAAGCACGAAAGGCCAGCTCATCCTTCATCGACGATGAGAATCACATCTTAGATGCTCGCTTTGGGAACCTCCCTTGGGTCCACCTAACGGATCTGTTCGATTACTCTTCGATTGATGTTCGATTCTGGCTCGACTATAGCTCGTCTCCAGTCCACGGACGTTCGACGCAGCATCGACGCACGGAGAGAGCGAGTTCGCTCCAGGAAGGTCCCCAGAACGAGCATCTAAAACATCAAGAGCATGATCGAAAGCTTACCCGGCGACTACAACACACTGGACATGGCTGTGCGCAACGAGTTGCGGCGGGTTGTCGAGGCTGAGATAGCGCTGGCCCTCAGTGACTCCCCTCCGTGACTCTTGAGATGAGGGCAGGTGTGTTTATCGTTGCGTCCACTCTGCCCACACACTATCTCAGGCGACGAGGGGTACACGCACAGCGCAGTCACAGGGGGTCGTGTGGGGACCGCTCCTCACCCATCCCTTCTTCCTCCTCTTGCCCCTCCTCCCTCCCCCTCTCCTCCTCCGTCCTTCTCCCTCGTTCCTCCTCTCCTCCTCCCTCCCCCCCCCCCCCCTCCCCTGGGGGCCATGGGGCCAGGAGGCTGCCTGACAGCACCGGAGCCCGTGCGCCGACCTTGGCCGAGCCAGCCCGGGATCCTCGGTGGCCAAGCCAGGAGGATACATCGCTTTGGGCCCAGAGGCTGGGCATGGCAAGGGCTGGTGCGTATGCAAGGGCGCCCTCGAGGGCGCGAAGCTGTTCGCGCTTTGGCTCCGATTCCTCCTCGTCCTCCTTTTCCACCCTGGGGGGCGGCGCGAGAGCGCGAAGTTATTCACGAAGCGCGAAGTTAGGCACTCTTGCATATGTTGCGGGCAAGGTTCGTATCCATATCCAGAGCGTCTTGGACTTTCTTGGAAGGGGCGGCACAAGGCCGACGCGCACCAGATATGGACAAGGATCGGGTCTCTAGGGGCTGGATGTTTGTCCATATTCAGTGCGCCTCGGGTTTTCGGGAAGGGAGCCTCGAATGCAAACGTGTGTCAACGGCCGGAGCAACGCCTAGAAAGCGGTAACGTGTGTGTGTGTGTGTGTGTGCTCTGTGTGTGTGTGTGTGTGTGTCACCTCGGCTGTTTTGCGACCACCTTGGGCGGCTGTGAGGGTTCTCCAGCGGGGTAGGAGGATGCGGGAACTTGCAAGGATGATGAAGGGGAGGGAAAGCAGGGGCAGGAGGAAGATAAGGAGGATGGTTGTGCAGGATGCGGGGGATGAGGATCATGATGATGAGGTGGTGGAGGGGGAGGAGGAGTAGGAGGAAGTGGCCCCTAACATGTTTTGTTGTCGGTCAGGAGTTCTCCAGAAGTCCAGAAGATTGTGAACGGTTACCTCTCTAAGCTGAATGCTGTCCGTGGTGCGACGTTTGGAGCAGCGCGCATAAACCCTTTCACACGTGCAATCTCAGCCATCTTGGGATCACCTTGCATATCTGTGAGGCCGTCACCAGCGGTGGACTATAATGATGCAATCTCCGATTATGATGAGCAGGCGGAGGATGAGGAGGAGGAGGAGAGAAGGAGGAGAAGAAGGATGATCATGACGAAGAGGAGGAAGAGACGCACGTCTGTGTGGCGACGATCGGATCAGTACCAACATTTCTTCACATAGGACACATTCGCCTTCCTGGAGATACCTTAAGTTTATGTAAGATCGTATGGCGCCTAGAAGTAGGAAGATGAGGAACATGATGAGGACGAGGAGGAGGACGACCGTCACATATAACACCGTTTGCCCCAATCTCTTGAGGAGCTCTCACGGGGATTATCCGTGAGGGTTTCGCCCCCTGCCGCCGGCCCCTTCTCTCGGATAATGGGTAACGCAAGAGCGAAATCATGAGGCTTTGGCGCCGCCGTGAAGCAGCGTGGGGACTTCACGCGAAGACAATGAGTAATCGGCAAGATAAATTGAGATGATGATGATATTGTTGAATTCTGTGTTGCATTTCGAGCTTGCCCGCGCATGCTGTGCAAAAAGCTTTTCTACGAAGTATTGTAATATTGCAAATCTCATGAGGGGTGCTACCGAATTTCAAGAAATGTGGCAAATCCCATGTGTTGTTCGACCCTCACCCCGCCGATCCGCATGAGGACTGCCACCGAATTTCAGAAATGTAGCAATTTCCTATGTTTTTGGACCCTGACCCCGCCGATCTGCGTGAGGGGGGCCGCCGAATTTTAGACATGTGGCAAATCCCTTATGTTGTTGGACCCTGCCCCCGCCGATCTGGTGAGAGGTGCCACCGAATTTTTTAACATGTGGCAAAGTCCATTTGTTTTTCAACCCTGACCCCGCCAATCTGCGTGAGGGGTGTCGCCGAATTTCAAAAATGTGGCAGATCCCATGCGTCTTCCGACCCTGACACCGCCGATCTGTGAGGGGTGCTACCGAATTTGAAAAATGTTGCTAATCCCAGAGGTTTTCCGAACCTGACCCTGCCGATCTGCGGGAGGGGTGCTACCGCATTGAGGAGTTTTCCCAATCCCATAGCTTTTTCGACCCTGATCCCACCGATCTACGTGAGGGGTGCCACCAGATTTCAGAAATTCTGCAAATCCTAAATGTTTTTGGACCCTGACCCCGCCGATCTGCGTGAGAGGCGCCGCGGAATTTCAGAAGTATCGCAAATCCCATGTGTTTTTAGAGCCTGACCCTGCTTATCTGCGTGAGAGGTACTCCCGAATTTTGGAAATCTGGCGAATTCCATTTGTTTTTGGACCCTGACCCCGCCGATCTGTGTGAGGGGTGCCACCGGATTTCAGACATGTGGCAAATCCCATAGGTTTTTGGACCCTGACCCCGCCGATCTGCGTGAGAGGTGTCAATTTCGACCCCCCCAGAAATTGTGAGACCCCTCCCGGGAAGTGCTAACCAGGGTGGTTTTCGGCTCCCCCCCCCGCGCGGGCTACCACAAGGAACAGTAAGCAACAATAAGCAGAACTGTAACAGTGGAAGCTTGAAGCTGGAACTGGTGCAGGGAACAGCAAACCCTGAACCTACGGCTTGGTGGCCCCACAAGGGGGCCGGCGGATTTACAAGGGACGATGGCTTCGGGTACACGAGCATTATGTAATTTACATGGGTGTATCGCCTCGAGGGTTTCGGGCCCACTGCTCTGGAGAGGCGGTGGCGCTTTTGGACAATTCGTGGCCGCGGGGCGCCAGCGTGGCGTAATTTACGAGGGTTCGTTACCTCGGGGACGCAACTATTGAACAAGGTTTCGTGGCCTCGGGGAAGCAACTATTTCCCTACCTAGGCTCTGCCTAGAAGGGTTCTTACTCTGTAGCTTAAAGGGGCCGGGCAGTGCAAATCGCCCCGGGCGGTTCCCCCAGTCCCCTGGGAGCCAAGCAAAAGCAACAGCAAAGGTAAAAGCAAACGCGCGGTTCCCCCAGTTGCGCTCCCTGGGTGCCAAGCAAAAGCAAAAGCAAAGGCAAAAGTGAAGGCAAAAGCGAAGGCAAAGCAAAAGCATAGCATAGCATAGCATAGCATAGCATAGCATAGCATAGAATAGCATAGCATAGCATAGCATAGCATAGCATAGTGCAGCACAGCATCCACTATTGCTGCTGCTACAACCACGACGATGAGGAGAAGGAGGAGGACGGCGTTTACCGCTCCTACTAATTTTGCTTTTCTAGAGGCTCCAACTCCTAGGTAGGGTCGCACTGGGATAATTTGTGTTTTATGTGGGTTTGTGGCCTCGGGGACGCGAACATTGCGTAATTTACACAAGTTTGTAGCCTCGGGGACGCGAGTATTGTTACGACGGTGTATGGCTTCGAGACGCGAGTATTGTGTGATTCGCGAGAGTGTATGGCCTTGGTGACGCGTACAGTGCGTACTTTACGAAGGTTGATGGTTTCGGGGACGCGACTATTGCGTAGTTAACGAGGACGTATGGCGTTGGAGACGCACATATGTAATTTACGAGGGTTAGTGGCCTCGGGGACGCGCATATTACGTAATTTGCAAAACGGATTCTTGCCTCGGGGACGCGAAGACAGCGTAATCTCCAAGGGATATGGCCTCGCAGACGCAAGTAATTTGTATTGTTCAATGGTTTCTGGCCTCGGAGACACGAGTATAATGTAATTTGCGTGAGTTTGTGGCCTCGGGGACGCAAGCAATGTATCATTTACTATGGTTTATGGCCTTGGGCATCGTGGCTTCGGGGGATTGGGGCCCGCCGCCAGATTTCAAGAGACGGCGCGGGTTCCAAGAAACGCCCCCCCGAAGACAGATCCCACAAAAGAAGTGATTGTTTTTCTGCGTGGAGAGGGGGTGTCGGTTTTGGACGGCCACGGGGGTGCGAATATTGCACCATGTACGAAGGTTTGATGCTTCGGGGACGCAGCTAGCGCTTAATTTACGAAGGGTTTAGGCCTCGGCGACATGAATATTTTACAATTTACGAGGATGTATGGCGTCGGGGATGCAAATATTGCACAATTTCCGAGGGTGTATGGCTTCAGGGGCGCGAGTTTTAGGTTTATGGCCTCGGTGACGCGATATCATATAATGTACGATTGTTCATGGCTTCGGATTACATAATTTACTAGGGTTTCTGGCTTCGGGGACGCGAGCATTGTGTAATTTTCGAAGGAGTGTGGCCTCGGGGACGCGACAACAAAGCAAGCTCCTATGGATTATGGCCTCGGAGACGCAACTATTTCATAATCTACGAAGGTATACTGCTTCGGGGTCGCAAATCCAGCGTAATTTACGCAGGCTTAAGGTTTCGGAAGCGCGGATCTTGTATACTTCCCGCGGGTGTATGGCTTCGGGGACGCGAATATTGCGTGATGTGCGAAGGTTTGTGGCCTGGCGGTCGCAAGTATTGCAGCATGTACGAGGGTTGATGGCTTTGGGGACACGAATCTTGCGTATTTTGCAACGGTTAATGGCTTCCCGGACGCGAGTTTTGCGTAACTCGCAAGGGTTTATGGCTTCGGGGACGCGAATATTGTATAATAAAAAATGGTTTATGGCCTCGGGGGCGCGAATTTCTTTACGTGTCCCACGCCCTCCCTCAGGAGTTCAGATCACGCGACTCGGGCGTGGTAATCCAGACGCTTTTCGGCTCCCCCCCCGCGCTCAGTAACAAGTAACAATTAAGCGTAGGAAGCAGAAAGTGGAACAATCACAGTGGAAATTGGAAACTGGAATTGGCGCAGGGAACAGCAAACCCTCGTCCTACAGCTGGGTGGCCTCACAAGGGGGCTGGTGGATGACGGGAAGCGCCCCTGGCGTGGACCGTTTGTTGGTGGTAAAAAC